AAGTCGACCATCCATGTATATTTTTTTAGAATTTGTAAAGCTCCACATAGTAATACTTTAGGTTTTTCAGGACTTGTTCATCACAAAAACTCAGATTTGCCCTTCTAGACCAAAGAGAGCCATAGATAATACGGAGGAGAAGTGGGAATAGCCACATTCTAACAAAGCTTCCTTTACTAAAAGAGATGATCTGATGAATTCAGTTCATAACCTCTGCTTTATATATAATTACAAAAGAAGAAAATGATTATATAATAAATGACCTCAGTTTACACCTCTCAAAAAGTTAGGGAAAAGTAAATTTAAACCTAAATTAGTAGAAGGAAGATAAAAGAAGAGCAGAAATCAGCCAGATAGAAAACAGAATGAATTTTAACAAAATAAAAAGCTGCTTCAAAAAATGGACCATTTCTTAGCTAGACAGATAAAAAAGAGACAGAAAAGGAAGATGAGAGAAAACACAAATTATTAATAATAGGAATGAAAGATGAACTGTTACTACTACTACATTAAAAGGATAATAAAATGATTAAAAACAACTCAACAACTTAAATGAAATGGCCCAAATTCTCAAAATTACAATTTAATACTGACACAAGAAGAAACAGAATATTCTTCTGTTAAGAAACTAAGATTTCTGTAAAAATATGTTCTTGAAAAATGAAATAAACAACTATAAAAAAGCCCTTTAGGTCCACAGAATTCCATGGTTTACCTCTTTTAAAACTCAAATCAATAATAATAACAAAAATAAACTTTTTCAGGAAATCAGTGAATATGTAAACACTGTCAGTTATTTTATAAGACCAAACATTATTGGGAGATTATAAGTGGGAGATTTCTGAGGGACAGCAATAAAAATATTGTAAAGAATTACAATCACATAAATACTTTCGTTTTAATGGAAAAATAAAAATTAAATTCATATACGAAATAGATGGAGAAGTATTGTGATAATGGATCCAAAGCAATCTATGATAGTCACATGGAAAAAGGAAAAATATGAACATAAAATTTACTTAGTTTTTGATAAAGCATATGAAGGTGATATGTGTGGAAATATTTTGAATATCACATTCAGAAAATCTAGAAAAAACAAACTTATTTTGATTATTAAAATCTATAGGAACATAAGTTAGGTAAGGGGAACCATGTTTTTAATTTGGAATCTTTTAGTTATCTTTTATTTCTGATCACATTCTACATTTTCCAAGTTATCAAGATTTTTCTGTTGCTTTTCAAAGTATTTTCCGCAATATATTCTCTATATTCTATTAATTATTTCACTCTTAGAATACTGCAGTGATATAACTAATTAAAGTATTGTTGGCTTCAGTTTTATTCCTTTCTTCTCACTTTTCTGAATCGCAATCTGATCTGATTTATTTCCTCCCTATAGAATTTTAAATTTTAAATTGGCAATTTATCTAGTTTGGCATATTTCTATCATTATTCCACATATTATTTCTATCTATATTGCATTAATTTGTGAACTTTTCCTTCTCCCTACACTTCTAGTTCTTGGAGGACTAGAGAAAAGTTAAAAATTTCTGTGTCCTGTTTGGTACATCTGCTTCAGCATTCAGAAACTTGAAAGCAATAAAAAATGTTTGACATATTGATTTATTAATGTCATATTAGTGTGCGAGACAATTGAAACATAACTCACTATAAACAGAGAGAATCCAATATAGCTTTAATTACTCCCAGTGAATTTGCCACTGCCAAAAAGGTTGGTCATGAAACCCAGTTTTATATATTCCTGACTGCTTTAGTCCCCATCATAGTGACACAATACCTGAGAAAACCAACTTATAAGAAGAAAAAGTTTATTTTAGCTCCTAGTTTCAGAGGTTTAAGTGCCTGGTCCTTTGACCCTGTTGTTTTGTGTCTATAGCAGCACAGCACAACATAACAGAAACCAGCTGCTGTGCAGCTGCTCAACTCATGGTAACCAGGAAGCAGAAAAAGGTGTGGGGAGGGCAGGCTAGTGATCAATATTCCTTAAAAGGCCATGTCCCCAGTAACCTGATTTCCTCTAATGAAGGTCCACCTCTTAAGGGTTTCACCTCCTAAAAGAACCACAAGCTGGTGACCAAGCCTTTGGTACATGGGCCTTGGGGAAACATTTAAGATCCAAACCATAATACTACCTCTACTGTAATTTTTTTTTTTTTTTTTTTTAGTATTAGACAATTGTTTTATTTGCAAAAGCTAATGAGATTTTTCTCTAAGCTTTACCAAGCACCCTAAATCTTTGTCACTGAGTGTTCTATTCCAGAAGAGCTTCATTCTTTAAAATGCAGCTCATGGAAAAGATTTCACCAGCCTTTAATGCAACTCACATTTGAATTGCTTTGTATCTTTTACTTCAAATTTTCTTTGTTGTATTTGTCTAATACAATAGTTGAGACTATCAGCTTTTTTGACGTCATATAATCAAAAAACTCCTTATAAATAAAATTGACCTCTAATTAGTCAATTGTGATTGTGTAAAATATTTTAATAATTACTCAGACTTCGTGGGTTAGTGTTTCGAAACATTAGGGTTTTTAAAATGATCTTATTAAAGAGATTAGTTTTAAAATCTATTATAAAATTTGAGTTTATAATCATTGCACAATTTGACTGCAAAATAAAATTCTCATTTATGTGATTTTGTCCATTCTAGGTCAGAAATCGTGTATAGAATGTGACAACAATGACATCTATGCAAACAAAAGCAGTATATTAAGCAACTGAAGATACTAAAGTGTCATATTATTTAATTGTTTAATGTTAAAATGTCCTGTGATTTGCAATTTATTTAGTTTTAGCCAAAAAAGTGGTAAATTTGTTTAACAGCTGCCTCCCCACCAATCTACAATACACTTCGGTGTAGTATTTATTATATAAGTAGAGCTGGCTCAAAGAATTAAGTTTGAGATACTAAATTAAATGGTAGTATTTAAAAGTTTTTTTTAATAATTCTCATGTTTTCCTCTTCACTCTTATTTATCTTTTTAATCATAGTCAATATTTTTAGATCTAGATTCCTGTTATATCTAAAATATTTCTCTAGAAATGGTATTATAACACATTTAAAAGAAACTATACTACACAAAAGAATAAGAAAGCAAAATCATGCATAGGAGTAGGGACCATGGATACATTGTGAAAAAACGAGATGAAAGAAGCTGCTAAAATAAGTGGTTAAGTACAGCTTCAGTAAACAAGAAACAAAGATAGCAGGATTGGCAATAAAAGATAATAAATTTTGAATTTGCTTTAAAAATAGTCAAATAAAGCTCAAATGGAATATATTAAATCATACCATATTTATTAATTATAATTGTCAGTTTTGTTATTTTTAAGATGGGGTGTGTGTGTGTGTGCACTTTTGTTCATAAAAATATGGTGGGACAGGAGAGTGGTTAATTCTTCCCATAACAAGAAACTTTTGACTTCTAGTTCCCCAACTGAATTATAACCAATGATCAAAACTTCTCTTATAAAGTTAGGTGAGCTAAATATTGTAAGGTTACTAAATATTCATTAGTTTGCTTTTCACATTTAGGTCTATAATCTATGAGGAATTTATGTTATCTGCAGTGTCATAGTTATCCAGTTATATATTTCTTCAATTGAGAACCTCATGTCCCAGCACCTTTACTTGAAAGTGCATCATTAATATTATATGTGCTATAATATTACCTGTGTCATAAAATGTGCTTCAAGTATCAGTGGGTGTGTTTCTGACCTCTCTATACTATTTGTCAATTTGTCTTATCTTTAGAGTAGCATCCATCACACTTCATAAATTAATGTAGGTTTATAACATTGGAAGGGTATGTCTTCCAATCTTGGTCTTTGTCAAGAGTGACTGGGTTACTATCAATTTTCATTTAAAAAATTACTCTTAAGATTTTGTAATTGGAATTCCAGTGATTTAAAAACTTTAGAAAAATTGGAAAGCTAACAATATTTCTCTAATTATTAAACATGATATATCTGTTTATATGTTAATATTTTAGTTTTATTGTTTATCCTTTATTAGACTTGTTCCTAAATATTTATTTTTCAACACAGTTGTATGTTCTCTTCCAAAATTTCACTTTATATCTTTTGTTGGTATATGTAAATGCAACTATTTAAATACATGCATGTATAACCAAGAATATTTTATTAACTTTTTCAAAAATTGTGTTAATTACCTTATTATTTTATAGATCCATCTTAATTATTTGATGTGCACAGTCATAGGACTCTACTTTTGTAAAAATAAAGCAGATTTTTCCTTTTCTTTTCACTAAGTACAACAAAAAGTACTAGAAAAATGTGTATAAAACAAAGGTAAGAAAACCAAAAGTTGATGAGGCTAAAAGCAAGCTGGCTAGGGGACTTGGGACTATAGAAATGACACTTTGGTGAGGTCCTTGATTTTCCTTCATGTTTGAATTATTCAAGTCTTGGACCTGAGGAAGCCAGAAACCCAGAAATATCAATAGACATAAATGGAAAAACACCTATCCCCAAACCCTTTCTCTCCTTTGCCAAAGGACTAGGAAAGATGTACTCTAACAAAACAAAAGCCTTTTGATAATAACCACTCTACTGATGATAACACCACAGAATGAAAAAAATTGTGACCCTACCCAGTGTACATCAGTATATCTTCAGCTGCAGTTCAGAGTTTTCACACTCCCCAGGTTATAAGAAGATACTAACCCCTAACTCCTAATGGGTCAGAAATGAGGATTTTTCACTCCCATTGGAGAATAATAAATATCTTCCCTCCCTAGGAAGACTATGTGTAAGCCACAATTACTTCTCCTACAAGGGATTCCCTTTCAACTCTCCTGCCCAGGCTGGTGCCCAAAGAGGCCTAGTAGGGAGCCAAAATCTACCAATGTCATCCTGTGCTCCTGTGGCATTGGGGGCTAGGTAGGAACAGTGATGTCCCTTCAAGCCAAGATAATATCACCATTAGTCTAACTAGGAGCTTTAAATTCTATACTCACTAAGCAGCAAGAAGTAACTCCTCTTCCCTTGGGTGTCAACAAAGTCTGAATGAAGAACCTGGAAACATTCTCCTTCTCATCCCTGAGAAATGTCAGAAGAAGTCAGTTAGAACAGAGTTAAAACCAGATCAAAATATAATTCTCCAATGACCAGATTCCCATTTTTAAACAATCATTCATTAAGAATCAGAAAAATCTTAACCTGAGAAAAGACAATTAATAGATTTAATCACAGCAATGTTAGGATGATATTAGCGACATCTGATGTTAGAATTATCTGACAAAGAGTATAATACAGCAACCAAAAAATGTTTCAGCAAATAATTTTGAACAATTTTGAAACAAGTGAATAAATTAAAGATATCAGTAAAGAAACAGAAAAGTCTCAGCAAATAAGTAGAAGATATAAAATAAAACTAAAAATTTCAATAATTAATGGATAAACATAACCACACAATGAAGAGACAACATGAAGACAAAGAAAAGGCAATCAATAAATCTGAACAAGAGAGAAAAAAAAATGATCAGTTAGCTGTTTTCAAATTAAAAATTTTTGTGTGAGATCCCTGAGGAGTATGAAAGCACAAACTGAAAACTGGTACTAATATTTGCAAATACATTTCAATAGACACTAGTACCTAGAATACTTAAGTTCTAATTATAATAGTAAATCCACCTTTGAATTGCAATTGGGCCAAAGTCAGAAACATTTCACTGCTAAGAACATACAAAAAGCAACTAATCACATGAAAATATGTTCACCATCATTAGCCATTAGGAAAATGCAAAGTGAATCACAATGAGATAGCACTGCACAGCTATAAGAATAGCTAAGATGAAGAAATGAACAAACAAGCACAAAACCATAGAGACAGCACAAAATGCTGACACAGATATGGAGAAACTATCACTCAGTCACTGTTGATGGAACATCATAGAAGAAAGTTGGGTAATATCTTAATAAAACAAAGTGGGAATGGAGGGGGATGAGGGAGGAAATGGTTTTGGCTCTAAATGGACAACAAAAAGGACTTATGGAGTGCTGAATTTGTTCTGTATTTTTTAAAACTATCTTTATTTTATTTATTTATTTACATGTGGTGCTGAGGATCAAACCAGTGCCTCGCACATGATAAGCAAGCCCTCTACCGCTAAGCTACACCCCCAGCCCGTGTTCTGTATTTTAGTTGTATCTGTATCAATTTCTTTGGTTATAATACAGTAGTATAGTTTTATAAGATGATGCAATTAGTATAAAAGGGTAAAAGCAAGGGCATTTTCTACAGTTTCATGTAATTGTACAAATATGTAAAAAATCATAATAATTTTAAAATATTTTGAACTCTCCAATCCTTAAAAATTCATTTTTTTATTCTTATTTCACTTCATTGCATTGCTATATCAGGAAATTTTTTAAAAAATGAGATACTGGGCATCTAATCTCATTTCTAATTTCACAAGAAAACTTTCTCAATTATTCAATAATAAGAATGGACTGGGATTGTGTCTCAGTGGTAGGGCACTTGCCTGGCATATGTGAGGCACTGGGTTTGATCTTTAGCACCACATAAAAATAAATATAAAGTAAAGGCATTGTGTCCATCTACACCTAAAATAAATAAATAAATAATCCATCCTGCATAATCTATAATATATAGATTAAGGAAGTTCATCTTATTCTTAGTGTGTTATGGATTTCCATCATAAATTTATTGCTATATTTACCTTGTCTTACACCTTCTGTAGAAATTGTTTTCCTTTTAATATGTTAATGTGGCAAGTTTTGGTAATTGTCTTTAAATAAAAAAACAATGAGCGTATTTCTACAATAAACCTTGTTTTCTTGTGGTGTATTTTCTCTATATTTTACAGAGTTCAACTTTCCAAAAATTGTTTGTTTGTTTTTTAATTTTCAGTGAAATAGACTGGTCAATTTTCATTAAAGAGCTTTTAAACAATCTATTATTTATTAATAATTTGTAATTTATTATTACTCTTTTAAATGCTCAAGTTAATTGTAACATAAAACCATGTGGGCATAGGGGTTTATTGGTTTTGGTGGGTTCTTTTTAAAATTTCTTTCCCAAGTAAAATGTACTTAACTGTGGATTATAGAAAATCAATACTTTTCATTTCTTCTTGTGTTTGACTTGGAAAAGGCATTTGTTTGTGATGTGCCCATTTTACTTCAGTTGTCAAGTACAATAGCTTAATGTTATTCATGGTATATTATTAAGACATTTCATGTCTGTCTTGACCTCTCCTACTGTATGGGGAGTTCCCTTTTATTGGCTCCATTTTCCTTCCCAAACATCTTGTCTAAGTGAAATCATTCCAATCTGTCAGAAATATTTTAGTACAGATGAACTTCAAATTGGTTGGCTTTAGGAATGGTAAAAGTCCTGAATGTCTCCTACTGAAGGCTTTCTCTCACTAGGTAGGTTAGATGCAAATAGATCTGGAGAAGGTGAGATGAGCAGCTCTGCTCAAACTCGTTATCTGTCAAACAAGGGCCAAATACAAATGGGTTCATTTTATAATCCCTTAATAGCCTAGGCCCTGGCTAATCTAAAAATTTTTATGTTACATTTACCATTCTCACACAATATTCTTTGAGAGTAGCCCCTCAAAATATTTTGCACACGTGAGAATCCTGGAATTAATTTGTGGAATGTACTAAGGTAAAGCTAGACATAGTATGTCATCTTTAGGCCAGTTCTTCTGTATTTTACATTCAAAATAGTGAAATTTTTCTGAGTGCACGTTTCTAAATACATGAACACTTCATTTTACCTTCCTTCTCTCATCTCAGGAAGAGAGACACCAGCTCACACTTTCCAAACTCGTTTTTATGCTACAGAAGATGTTCCATTGAGGAGGTGAGTGAGAAAGTTCAAAGAGTTAGCTTAGAGAGGACAGAAGATTGGAAAGTGTTTTGACCTGGAAATCCCCCACTTACTCACGGTTACCTTTATTCACTTTACGGTAATCAATTTAAAAACATGCACACCTGTGACTTAAAAATGAATCTTCCCAATTTGCCTACTTTTTACTAACTTAATAAAAGATTATAATTCCTTTGATTCACGGGAAGATCAAGGGCATTCAGAAACCTAATTTGCCCATTGAAAAAAAATATAAAAAAATGATGAGCAGGTTGTCTCCGGAAATTGTCTCAGATCGGAAGTGTTGTGGTCCCTGTGAACATGTGCCCCTAAGCAGCAGCTGTCTGATAAGGACTGTATATCCTGCCTTCCCTGCACCACTTTGCATTGAGCTCACATTACTTCATTTCCTTTCTGAAACCTTCCTCCGGATTGTTCATATATGGTCAAACATGAAGGGGAGCTGCATTTAATTTAGGTGTCCTGAATGATCTTTTCCAACTTTACCCAGGCACTAACTTCTCTAAGCCTCAGTTTTCTCAACTAATTATGAAATGTCAGTCATAATGGAGACTGTCATTAATATTACCCTATGGATACCACTTAATGTTATAATCTATTACTTATGAAGTAAAACATGTAAAGTCTCTCTGAAAAAAGAGGAAAGGTAGATAAAACATTGTCATGTATTTTACAAGAACATTAAAGTTTTTTTGTGAAAGTTTTTTTCTTCTGTATTTTCTCAATTGGTTCTTTTTTAGTAAGTCTTTTCATGTTACTTTGCTGTAGAGAATTAAATCCATCATGGATAACTACATGGGAAGTTTGCTTCTATATTTCAATGAATAAGGGACAACTAAAAAGACCCTCCGGTACCCAGATCTGTCCCTCACTGAATTCTGACCCTCTATATTTTGCTTTGTCTTATTTCCTGGAATTTCACATTTAGAGATATCTTCCTTTGGTTTAACAAATACAGAAAAGTTCCAGGAGCATTTGCTTTATTATACCTAAGAGGATTCTCTTCCAGGTGAACTGACATGCTTTTACTAATTAGAGCAGGACAATAGATGTTGGGCAAGTGCTATTCATACTTAACAGAGGGGGGCAGGTAAACAAAGACAGACAGAGATGGAGAACAGAAGAGAAGTTTAATGAAAAAGAATTAATTTTGCCACAAAGTTCAGGCTCTTGTGGAGAATCTGGAACAACCTGAGGATCAGGGTTGCCTAGATGGCCCAAAGATACATACATTCTTGGCAATTTGGCTGCTTTTTTTTTTGTTTGCAGTGACTGTTTTCTCCTACCCACAAGTGCTGATTTCAATAAAATACTTTGGCAGTCCTAATAAAGACAGACAAAAAAAAATGACTTCAGAATGAAGTAAGAGTTTGATTAACATTATAATGTTTAAAGATATTCATTTTCTTACAATGAGATTTCTAGGTATCATTTGTCTATACCTAGTGGCAGTTATATTAAATAAATATATATTATATACGTTACACATAACAATTTTATGTGTATATTTGTAACATACATATACACTCACTCATAAATATATATGCATATTTTATATTCACCAGATTATGATGGAAGAAGCAAGAAATCTTGAGCACATAAGCAAGAATCTTAGTGCTATGAAATCTGTTAGAAGTGGTTTTAGGAGCCTGCATCTTCCTCTGTCACATTATATTGCATCAACAATTATGCTGAGTCTCAGTTATCATTGCTTAGTGCCTTAGTTAATGAGACACTTTCTCTTCCACAACCTGTATCAAACTCCCACTCCCTTAAATTATCATCAAATACCTAAATATAGCAAACACTGTGCTAGAATATGAATTTTTTAATTCATAAAAACTTTATCAATTAACTGCTAATATTTTCAGTTTTTATACATAAGCAGGCTAAAGCTCAGTGGAGTTATATAGATTTTTCTAAATCTAAACTGTTAATTATTGAGTTAATAAACATATTGTTTCATGTATCTCTGAACAATACTTGAGTTCCTTCTACATTGGAACCTATATAAGGTTCATTGTTAGATAAGGTAGGCATGTGCCTGGTCTTAAACACCTTGCTTTCTAGTTGTGCAAATAAAAATAATAACAATGACTTTTAAAGCTTATATAAATAGATGAGCTACAAAGTTTCAGATTGTGGTGTCTCTCAACTAAAAGACAGAGTGAAGTAATAAACAGAGGCTAATGGGAGGTAATTTATGTAGGTGGTCAGAGAAGGTCTTATCGAGGGGCGATATGTGGGGTTAGATGTAAATATGAAGAAATAGCCATGAAAAAATCTGAGAATGGGAATAATGAGAGTAAACACACTTGCCATAAAATGAAAAGTTTCTTTAAGGAATAAAAATGTTCAGTTCTTGGTAGAGAACATGAAGGGAAATGATAGGAATGATTATCTGCCTGGAAAACCTATTTTTTAAACATAATGTTAACCTAACTAACTGTTCTAGAAGATTCAAATGTCAAGGTTAGTTAGTATCCAGGTAGGGAAATAAGATTTTGAACTTTATTATATAAAATGCCAAAAGGGAGAAAGGTATATTAAGTAACTGAGAAAATTGGGATATAAGTTCCATGTGAGTCCAACCAGTTGTTGAAAAGTTCTTCTTTGCATATGGAAAAGATACATGACAAAGGTTATCAGTTGTATTTAAGAATATTTTCTTTCTGACTCTTTAGAACCCACAGACTAGGAATAGTTCAAGTAATGTCACAGATTTATAATAGTGATGTTATATTTTGCATTGTTCACAAGAGTGTGTTAAATTAGTGAAATTATTGACAGAGTGTATATATTAATCCAAATCTTCAAACTTTACAAAGATAGATAAACATTTAAAAGAAGTTTATCCAGACATGGTAGTGTACACCTCTAATAGTAGTGACTGTGGAGGCTGAAGTAAGAGGATTGCCAAATTCCAGAGTTCAATCTCTAGTACCCAAATAAATAAATAAATAAAAGATAGAAGTTGCTTTAACCCAAAGAAATTAGCAAAGCCATTTGCAGTAGTCCCTGTTATTCCTCTAAGTATTAATTTTAGCACCTCCTTTGTCATACAAAAATATTTTCATACTCCTTTGTTGTCCAATGGAAGTCTAAAGCCATGTACTTCTCAACTATACAACACTGCAAACCTCCTTGAGTAGCACCCTGTATTTTAGAACTTTTAGGGTTGTGAGCATCTTTTTTCATTAATTAATGAAATTGTATTCATTCACTCATTCATTTAGTGGGCATGTGTTGTACATGTAGTGGAGTCCAATTACCATGACAGATCTTAGAGTCACTGAAGGGAGAAGTCAAAGTCCTTGCCCTCAAGAAGCTTACAGTCTAGTAAGGAAAGTAAATGATGAGCAATGACATGGTATTAGTTATGACAATGATATAGAGAAAGCAAAGGTGTGGGAGGTATAGAGTGTGATGTTATATTTTTTGAGAGGACAAGGAAAGGAGTCTCTGGGCAGATGACACTGGATCAGCCAGTGAATTAAGCTAAAGGGAAAGCAAAACTTTCAGGCAAATGAAGGAAGAGCTCTTCATAGAACACATGTTAAAGAACCTGCAATGGTAGCATGTTTGAGGCTTGTATGGAACAGCAAGGAGGTTACTGTTGAGGAGGATAGTGACTAGGAGGGGAGGTAGCCAGGGGCCGAACCATATATAATCCCTTCCCAAATATAAGAAGGCCTTCAGATATCATGGCACCTTTAACAGGATGCCTTTGGGGGTAGAGGGAGTAGGAATTGAACTTCTCACTAAAATGGTATGACTTACTTAAAATACATCCAGTTGCTACATGGAAAAAGTCCTAGGAAAATAAGGCAGAGGCAAAGAGAGATTTTGGGAACACCATGTTCCTCTGTGTGACTTACATGGACAAATACACCTGATGACCCAACTAACTTCTATAGATGGTCATTTCCAACCCACCTAAGTATACCATTATCACAATGCCTTTACTCTGTAAATAGAATGACTTCTCTAAAATAAGTGATTTTAGTGACAAAGTTTTGGCACCAAAATTAACCAAAGTGGTATTTTGATTCCCTCACCTTCAAGTCATGGTACCTTGACATTCTGCATTCATTTTGTGTTGACCTTAATACTTATCTGGATGAGATCATTATCATAACAATATATTTTCTTTTTTTTATAACAGTATATTTTCATAGTAATCATCCCCAAAAGGTCTGAAGCTTCAGAGAGATCTGAGCAGAATAACCAAAAAGCTCAGGGAAAAATAGAAAAAAAAGATATTAGTTAGGTGAAAAAAAGGCAGTCTAAGTGACAGTGAAGTTCAAAAAAATAGCAGAGATGATGAAACAGACAATTTAAGATAAACAATTTTAGAACACAGCAAGGAAGTTCCAGACCACAAGCTTTCTATTTCCTGTATTAAGGCAACTACTTAGCTAAATGACACCTTAAAGGAACTAGTCCCCAGGGAAGAAGGGAGTGACATACTTCCGAAAGCCAATGCACAGCTTCCTAAAATGTTTCCAAGCTGAAGTGAGATTCATGAGAACGAAGATTTTAAAATTCTTATAAAGCAATAAATCATCTAGCCCCCAACAGCATCAGGTACATAGTGTATGTTTAATAAATACCAGTTGTTAAATGTATGAATGAATGAATGAATGGGATTCCAGGAAACCATTACACTCTCCTCCAAATTATTTCCATATCAATTAGGAAGCTCTAACCCTTAATTCTTTACTTAGATTATGCTATCTTCTACATTATCTGAGTTTTCTAAAACTTTAAGGAAGGATGTTTCTGATTCTGGGAAAATCCCACTTGTCTCTTCACGATGCACCTATAGTTGTGAGAAAGCACATTTCAGACAGCAGGGAAAACCCACACCTCACCACAACAACACACAGTGAACTGTCTGGTCCACTGGAGCGTAAATTAAAGAGAACTGGCAGAGTTAGACAAGTAGGAGGTAAGAGGAAGGGGGTGGAGTCACCCTAAAGGAACATAAATGCTGAGAAGCCTCAGAGACTCAGATGCTGAACATAAGCTACAGGAAGAACTCCCAGGAGGTTGACTTGACTTGAGATCCACCAGGGAACCTTGAGGATAAGGATGAATTCTGAAGATTGTTCCATAACAGAGAAGAGCTCTCTGAATCTGGAGAAAGGACAAAAAAGTAAGTCACGCCTGATTCTTACATTCCAGTAGTATTTCTATAAATGACAGACAGTGGTACTGAGGCAAGAAAATAGGGCACTTTTAAAGAGCTTGGTTGGGTTCCATTTCAGTCAGCAGAAACTGGGAAGAGAGAAATTCCTCTTGTGAGAAGATAGAATTCCTGCTAGAGTGGAAGCTACAAGGTGACTCTCAGAAGAAATTTAAAGATCTTTTCCTTTAAATCAACTTTATAGCATCTCACTTTTTATATCGAAATAAAAAATTCCCAGTCCTAGCCTAGTTACTCTCCATTATTTTTCCATGTCCACCTGTGCCTATTCCAGGAAGTTTTACCTCTCCCTGTGAAAAATTCTGTTTTTCACAGACCATAACATTCTTGATTGTTTACCCTTAGACCTTTGCTTTCTGTGAGCATCATCCTGTTCATGCTGTGTTCTCAGGACAGTATCTTTTAATTGCTAAATATGTACAAGTTTCCAGTCTGAGAAAACAGCTATATGAGCGTCTAAACATTTACAGTGCTCAATGGCAATTTATTAAGAGAATGAAAAAAAAGTCTCAAAAATACAATCTTCTGTTTTGATGTTCCTTTGGGGGCTCTTTCCCTCAGTTTCACCCTCCAATTTCATTTTTATAATCACTGACTTCAACTTCTAGATGAGCAGACAAATTTTCTTTTTTTTTTCATCAAAGTGCAATTATCTTGTAATTTTCTCCTCTCTTCTATTTTTCTGTTTTATTCACACATCTATTCTATTTCCTAGTAACATAATTTTCCATTATTTTTCTGTCTTTTTCTGTAAGACTTTCCTGATATTTTTTCATTTATTCCTTTTACTTCCTAATAAGTAGTAAGCTAAAGCACTATTAGTATTTTGAGTTAAGTTGTAAGCAAGAGCTGTCCAGTTAATAAAGAAATGTGTTAGAAACAGCACAGCCAAAACAATCTCTGAGGAAGAAATCATTTTCTCAGTGTATATCTACTAGATTGGTTTACTCTAGAAAAATATTACTTATTTTTGATTAACTTATTATTTGTTTTAAGAACATGAAGTCAAGTGTGACTAAAAAGTGTAAGACATGTAAATTTTTAAGTAACCAGGTGAACCACGACTTTACAGCCCAGTCAAGCTGCTAAAAAGTAAAATGATTTTTGAAAAGATATTAATAAATGTATTCAATAAAAAGAGCATAGTGGAAAGAAGGACCAGATACAGAAATTATTAACTTTACCTGAGATCATACAGATTTTTTGTCGAATGCTTAATCTGTGTTTCCATCATAATTATTTTAGTAGTATGAACAATTGCTGGCCATCTCTTGAGCAAGTCGATAGGTAATAAATAGGTGGGTCTGTTTTCACCTTCTCCATTAATGGAGAAAATCTATAATCACAGCAAAAGGGTGCTGTTGGGGGAATGTTTTGTCACCTAGGTGATAGAACAAATGTGGTTAGCCATACCCCTCACTAATGTAAATAAAGTACAGATCTGGGCCAACGGGCTGAGCTGGCTCTCATGTTCAACAGCTGTGTGGATGTGTTAGGGCTTGCTGAGGAGTCAGAGGTATTGCTGCATTGAGTTCAAGCAGAATGATTGAGTCTCACGTGGTGGAAAGTGAAACTAGACAGATGTTGCCTGACCTACCAAAGGCTGTCTCTAATGATAATTGTATACAAGTGTAAAACAGGAGGAATTTCTTTGAGAAACTGAGAGAAATAGAAATAGACAGGAATAAAATAAAGGTTTCTCTTGCAAAATCTGAATGCAGACATACATTGGGAAAAAAAAAACCCTAGAATAAGCAAAAGTTGATGTTGACACTAGCTATTCAGAGGAGTAAGAGGCTGGATCATACACTAGAGGTTTAGTTGATTTTTTAAGAAACCGTTTCCAATTTACTCTCCTACCAACAATGTATGAAAATTTCAATTGTTCCACATCTGCACTAACTTCATCAAAAATACTCTCAGGTGTTTAAAATTTTATATCATTCTAGCTTTGTGATTTTCTATTTCCTTACATTATCCATTCCAATCCCATTCATATCATCTCTCTTAAAGACATCTGTGTCTTAACTATACGAAATTTGACATTTTTATGAAACATCTCTTAAACAGTAACTGCCAAGAGGGTAAGGGATTATCCCATGATGTTTTTTTTTTTTGTATGTCCTCTATGGGTGCTTAATAAATACTGTATTATACTTAAAACAAGAAAATTATAATGTGGCTAAAATTCTTATAGGTACAAAGTACATCCATTGTGTATATTAAATTCATATATGAGTATGTGCAAATATTGGGTGATATTTTATGACCTCAGAACTATGACTGAAATGTTTTATTTTTATCTAATAAGACATTTTCTAAGTTCACACAAAATTTTGGAAAAATTAGTTTTTCCTTTTCACAAAATATGTTACCTATCTACCTTTCTCTTTCTCTCTGTTTCTCTCTCTCTCTCTTTCATTTAAACACCACAAAAGATTGCCCCATCTAAGGTCTGCCTGAATTCATCAAAAACTTTCTTCCTTTCAGGAAATGCCACCAGCCTCCATTATGAAACACATCATGAAGGGTCTCTTCAAGTTCCTATTCCATGTGCTGTAATGAATGTGGTCTTCATCACCATTTTAATCATAGCTCTCGTCGCCTTATCAGGTGGGTCTTCACTTTATGAGTTCTTGCAAAGTCTCCTAGCTGTAAGCATTGATGCCCAGCTGAAATCAATAGGTATTAGCTCAGTCTAGTTAATCAGAAATTCTGTTCAATTTAGGATAATCTCATATACCATACATGGCCAAATTTCTAATCAGTACAAAATATAATGTTCTTTGAATGATTACTACATTGCTTTTATGAGTATTAAGTGTCTATGATTTATATATCACTATAGGAGAAAAGCACAGTTGAGCAGACTTTTACATCTAGAAGAAAAGAAGCTAATATGAATTCTAAATGAAGAGACATTTAGCTAGAAAAAAAAATGTGTATTTTTTTATATAATAATATATAAATAATAGATATTTAAATAATATCTAAAGCATAGATTAATAAAAATTGGCCAGTCATTTATTTTTGTCTCTTATCTCAAAGCCACAGAATGTTAGTTCTGAGTTATTAAGACTATAGCAGAAATTCTCAGTCAGCAGTGACATGGTACTGAATACATATTATTTTATCATGTAAACTAGATACATCTGTGTCTTCACTATAGGAAATTTTACATTTTTATGAAACATCTCTAGCCATTGATCTTTCTTTACTCTGATTTATTTACCTGACAATTACTCTCTGCTTCATCTCCCAATTTAGTATTGTACCTCTTGTATCTTCAAATTCCTACATCTCCACCTCATTTAAACTTACAACATTACTTGGAATTTACAATGTATATTACACTTTCTAGTTCAAAGACTACCTCCAGGATTTTTTCTATTTTCCCTGCCACTGTCTGAGTGACCAAAGAGATACCCCTTATGCTCATACCTCATCTGATGATGAATAGACACAAAGAATAGTTAGATAAGTGAGCAACTGCTTTCTTCTTCCTTCTCTCTTTCCTGGTTCTCACTCTCTATCATACCTAAACTAAGTTTACATGCTGAATCTTTTTGATTTCTTTTGTTACTAAAAAACAAACAAACAAACAAAAAAAAAAACATTTTCCTTTTCACAGTGGGCCAATATAATTGTCCAGGGCAATATAAGTTCCCAGTGCCTTCAGACACCCATAATTCTTCATGCTCAGAAGAGTGGGTTGTGTACCAGAGGAAATGCTACTTTATTTCCACCACAACAAAGAGCTGGATTTTGGCAAAAAACTCTTGTTCCAAAGATGGTGCTACTCTTGCTGTCATTGAATCTGAAAAGGACATGGTAAGATTCAAAAATAACTTCACAAAATGATGCTATTTTGTTTTAAATAGGCAATCTGTGGTTTCTTTCTGAGTTAAAACTTTGTATCTATTGCACATTTAGGAAAATTGTCACAGAAGTGATATGATCACTCTGAGTTCAAAATGAGAGTTCAATATGGACTTTGAAAAGTGATTATTGACTGCTTAGCTTCAAAGGCCAGAAGTCCAAATAAGCTTCTCCTATATAGAAATAATAAATGATCAGCCTTAGTCATTATGTTCAAATTAAAGCTTTTAAAAATCAGATCTAATAAATACATGTTTCCTCAGTCAGTTGTTTAACATAACAACTCCTTTATGTTTTAAGAACTTCCTGAAACGATATGTGGGAGGAGCTGAACACTGGATTGGGCTGAACAATGAAGATGGTCAGAAATGGAAATGGTCAGATGGCAGAGTTCACAACTGGTAAGTCAAGAAGTTTCTTTATTGTTCCCAGGCTGTCACCACAGGAAAAATGCTTTCCCTTTCTTCTTTCATTTAACCTTTAATTTTTTTTCTTTTCTTCTTGCAAATCCCAGTTGGCTGTGAAGGTTGAGATACTCATGAGTAGAGCTCTTAAAATTTTCTTTTATATGCTTATATCCAATGGACTCCTTTCAAGACAGCCTTTGTTATATTTTTATCAACTTAGGATTCTGACAATAAATTCTTATAGTAATTTTTCCTCAGTAAACTCTAGTATGAATGCTCGAAATTAGCTTGTTTGGAAATATTCTAAGGAGATGACTTATGAGATAGTTCCTGGAAAAGAATTTCTTCTTTCTCTTTCCTAGTTTTCATATCTGTGTGGATAAAGAACAACATAATCTATGCCTAATTATTAATTTCTATGAACCTGAAGAAACTTGCCAGAGAATTTAAGATACTTATTCTGTTTTTGAGAGACATTTTATAAGTTTGGTGTTGATTTCGGCTTTCTCAACATTCAGAATGGAATAAATTTCTCACTATTAATAATTTTAGGATAATTACAGATACAGCATCAAGATCCAAATTCAGATCTATAGTAAAGGTATCCTTAATATGTGTCCTTACAGTCTCATATCTACAGATGGGCTGCAAGATCCATAAACACCCTAAATATGTATTCACAAGTATGCATGACTTTTGAATGCATGTAATTTCTGAAGTATATCTTGAAGAATCAATGAACTCAAAATGACCTAGAATCACCCCTTTGTTGACATGCCTACCAAACAAATGGAGCACTTTACTCTTAACTCTGTATCTTTTCTCTGCATGCTATTCCTTCATTTTTTTTTTGTCTATTGTCCCACAGATTAGACTATGATAACTTGACTGGCAGATTTGTCTCATAATTTCTCCTAAGGAAAAATAGTAGAGGTGACCATTAAGTTTATTCTCATGTAACTGAATGGAAATGACGAATTGAAAATAATTCTGAGTGTCTTCATTGTTTGACAGGTTCAACCTGACAGGGTCTGAGAAGTGTGCATTTCTGAACAGCACAGATATCAGCAGTGCAGAATGTGAGAGGAATTTACCCTGGGTCTGCAGCAAACCCTTCAGATAATGAGCAAGCATATTCACTCAAACCATTGTTGCTGGAACTAAAGGAAAGTTGTGTCAAATGATGCTACTTTGTGTCAGAAATGTCCACAAAGACATGGTGAACAAACTTTTATAAATATGTCTTTGGAACAAAATGGAGAGAAATTCCAGGAAAAATCTGCATTGTGGACTCCTTCTTCTGTGAGCTGAAAATATTGCAGGTTGATTGACAGTCATGTCCCAAGAATAAGAAGAATGACTATTAAACTTTTCAAATGCACTTTATGTACTCAAGTCCAGAAGTAACAATAGGTTAGGAATTATTATTTATTGTTGAATGACTACGAACAATGAGTGTCCTTCCTGCATTTGCGCTGCTTGAAAAAGCTGATGGTGGAGGCAAAAGGTGAATGTAAACAAATGGAATTTTGACTAGGAATGGATATTTGGTATAAATGAATTTCTTAAACTTAGCATTTATAAGTGAACATGTTTATGAAACTAAACTGTGTAATATTTTCCTCTGTTCGGAGGCCTTTGCCAGGTTACTTTGTCATATTTATCCCCAAAAGAATAGCATTTGTCTTTCTTTTTTTTTTTTTTAAACTTCCTCAATTGTAGGCAGGTCTTTGTCAATGGTACAAATTTCTTTGCCTTTAAAATTATTCACATGGTGTTTTTTGAAGAAAAGAAAAAAACAAAAACTATGAAGAATATTTGAAAAACAGACAAAAATGTTGAAAAATGTGCAATATAAGGGGTGGCAAATCTCTATCAGTAAATACTCTGTATTTTTCAAACTTGGAATAATACTAGTCTCTTCTGGTAATAAGATTGTGCCTTTCCTAATCAGCTTTGTCATGTGCACTACTTCATGTGAAGCATTTTCTGTGCAATGAAGTATGTTTGTTTGTTTGTATTTTGTGTTCAGCACAATTATAAGCTCCTTTGTTGTATGTGAAAATAAAAATAGAATCAACACCATGGGTTCCAAGAAGTGTTCAAATATTAAAGTGTTCATATATTAAACATCATATGCCATATTAGAAAGCAGAAAACATAATACTATGATTTTCCAAAATTCCTGTTTAGAGTAAAGTCTTACTTAGTTTTATAGCATTTGTAATACCTTTTAAGTTATTTTTTATACCCATGTTTTCTAAAGGACTGTATCCATTTTTCTTTGTATTGCAGATGCTTGGTAACATTTAGTCCTCATAAACAATGGTTTAAAATATCTTATAAGTTCTGAGGTGCTATATATATTAATTATATACACCAAATAATTAATTAAACAGAATGGGATACTGCATGATATCCGTGGGCTATTTCAATCAGGAACAAATTGAACTACTTTCCTTATTGTTTTACAAATGTATTTTTCAATATTTTTTTCTGAACATTGGACATATATGATATTCATGGTATCTTTAACCTGTTGTCACCACCAATGGCATATAGAAAAGAAATATGGATTTAAAATACTTCTTAGTAAAAAATATAGATGAATTTCTTGACCTTTGAGCTCCTCTTGTATAATGAAATGTCCCCTTAATGCTAATCTTCTATCATTAATGACAGCATTCTACTCCTGAGTCATGTGAGAAGCTGGTGTCCTATAAAATCTGTGTTATAAAATGTGCAAGTGGAAAGTGTTGCTGGTAAAAGCCAGAGGGTAGGAGGCAGGTAGCCTGAGTTTCATTACTGTCACCCACTGGCTACTGTGTGAAATATACAGGTGAAGTGTTCTTTTCAGAGGAAGAACTTGAAATTATGTTGAAAAACCAAAACAAAACTCAGATAACTGGCACATATAATAACATATAGTAATGTTTGGCACATATCTTACTAAGATGAGTCTAGATTACAGATTTAACATTTTGAATATTATTGAAAATTTTGATTACCTCAGCAAATTAGCTATTATAATTAGAATTAGCTAGAAATTTACTTAAAATTAGTTAGAATCTAAATTACTTAGTACATGAAAATTAACTTAAAACAATACTTGGTTCATAGCAAACCCTAGACATTTTTTAAATATTAAGAACTGATGGAGAGTGGATCCAAGATGGCGGAATAGAGGAGACACCATTTCTGGATGCTCTGTGCATGAATCCGAGAAAGCAGTCATGCGGCTTTTCCACAGGGTCTCGCCTAGACGGAATACGACATCTCAGAGCGTGTGACAGAACCCCATACAATGGATTTTCACAGAAAATTCCAGAGCTGTGAACACCCAAGCAGAACTCAGAACCTCTGTGTTCTGTAAGACTCCAGATTCTGGTCCCAAAGCCCGCAGTTGGAGGACACGCGCGACTCTCAAGAGGCAGAGCTGAAGCACCAAATCAGCACCTCTGCAGAGCACAGAATTCCAGAGTACGCTCCACTCCCGGCATTCTAGCCACAGCAGAAGGACATTCCAGCTCCTCCAACCTCACCAGACACCCCAATGTGGGAAACAGACGGGCTTCATCTTGGAAAACCTTTCTCACTATTTTTTGGTGGGTGTGGCTATCAGCACAGATCTTTGAGAGAGAGATGGAGAGAGAGAGAGAGAGAGAATTTTTTTTTTTTAATATTTATTTTTTAGTTTTCCGCAGACGCAACATCTTTGTTTGTATGTGGTGCTGAGGATCGAACCCGGGCCGCACGCATGCCAGGTGAGCATGCTACCGCTTAAGCCACATCCCCAGCCCAGCACAGATCTTTGACTGAACAGGTACCTGGTTTCCAACTCCCCCTCCCCCCAGCAGTGGTAACTAGGCATAGTAACTATCAGCACAAAATCAGCACTCAGTTGAAAAGGAGCGCAGTATGAATAGAGCGCTGCCCACCTGGTGAGAACCAGAGGGTGAAGGGTGAGAGGTCCCACAGTTGAGACCTGATAAGCAAGAGAGGGGAGGGGTATAAAAAATAGGAGCAACTCAGAGAGACCAAGATTAGGGAAGCTCCAGGCAAGAGAGGGGGACTCAAATCTTCTCACACTGTTACCTACACCACCCTGAGGACAGAGACTCAAGCTTGAAATAGACAACTCCATCTACTGGAAGAGAAAAGAAGGAAACAGAATTCTAAGAGTGTTTTGTTTTGTTTTGTTTTTGTTTTCCTTCTCTTCTATTTTATCCTTTTTCTTTCTCCTCTACCCTTCCTCCTCTGGCCCTCACAACCCCAACATATGTGAAACCAAGAACTTCGCATGAAATAGAACTTTAAGAACTGAGTAACCAGAATAATATAATATAGAGGAATTGCATAAACACCTCCCTTTTTTTTCTTTCTTTCACTCTCTCTCTTTTCTCTTTCTTTTCTTTTTTATTTTTCTTCCTCCCTCTATTCCTCTTTCAACCTCATAATTTTACTATTTTTACTTCATGTGGTTTTCTAAATACATATATGTGTTTGTTTTTATGTACCCTACTATCCTCACACTTACTTGTCTACCCTAAATTACCTCCTGTCTATTCCCCTGCTACTAACTCTCTTCATTAGAGTTCTCCTCCAAATTTCCTAAGTTATATTAACCCCACACCCTCACATCTTTCTCCATTACCATAATATCCTATGCCCGATCCCCAGATCTCTATCCACCACTAGAAGCTGTACACGTTTTATGAAACTACTGATTATATTTTAAATAATAATTGAATCCAACATTTCTGGACATTGACACTAACTATAAATGTCTTAATAACAATAATTTGTTCATAGGTGATGTATTGTTCATATTGGAAACTGTTAACATTGTCTTTCCCCACAAAGGAGGGATCTTGGAACTATACAAGAGTACTACAAATCTATAGGGTAAAAACAATAACACACCAGTCCCACAGAGCTGGAAAGAAAGAAATGTGAGCAACATGAAAAGACAAGGGAAGAAAGTATCACAAAAAATTCAAGACAACACATTATTAGAAGAATTAACAGCTACAGCAGACAAAATGACAGATAAAGTTTTCAGGATATACATGAATAAAATGTTTTGGAATCTCAAAGAAGACAATATATAACAAATACAGGCAGTGAAAGATCACTTTGAAAATGAGCTACATAAAGAAATCCAAAAAGCAAAAGATCACCTCTACAGGGAGATAGAGGTTATACAAACAAACAAACAAACAAAAAACCCAAAGAGAAATCATTGAAATGAAAGAAATAATAAACCAAATTAAAAACTCAAATGAGAGCATCACCAGCAGAGTAGACCACTTAGAAAATAGGACATCAAACAATGAAGATAACGTATATCATCTTGAAAAGAACATAAACAGCACAGCAATAATGATAAGAAACCACAAGTAGAACATCCAAGAAACATGGGATAGCATAAAAAGACTAAATTTAAGAGTTATTGGGATAGAGAAAGGCATAGAGGTCCAAATCAAAGAAATGAGCAATCTGTTCAATGAAATAATATCAGAAAACTTTCCAGACATGAAGAATGAAATGGAAATCCAATTTCAAGAAGCCTCCAGGAAGCTGAATGTGAAAAATCACAACAGATCCACACCAAGGCACATTAAAATAAAAAGGCCCAACATACAGAATAAGGAGAGAATGTTAAAAGCCACAAGAGAAAGGAATCAGATTATATATTATATATTATATATATTATATATTATATATTATATATATTGTATATTAATTGGGTAAACCAATTAAGATAACGGCAGATTTTTGAATACAGACCCTGAAAGCTAGAAGATCCTGGAACAACATATTTCAAACTCTGAAAGATAATGGGTGCCAACCAAGAATCTTGTATCCAGCAAAATTAAGCTTCAGATTTGAAGATGAAATAAAGACCTTCCATGACAAACAAAAGAAATGATAGCTAGAAAACTGGCACTAAAAAACATCATTCGCAAAATATTTCATGAAGAGGAAGTAAAAACAACAATGAAAACCAGCAGAGGGAGGTAGTACACTAAAAGAAAAACTAATTCAAGAAGAAAATCGAGTCAAGTTAAATAACAAAAATAAACAAATATGGCTGGAAATACAAACCATGTCTCAATAGTAACCCTAAATGTTCATGGCTTAAACTCACCAATTAAAAGACATAGGCTAGCAGATTGGTTTTTAAAAAAGATCCAACAATAGGCTGCCTACAGGAGACTCATTTGATAGGAAAAGACATGCACAGACTGAAGGTGAAAGGTTGGGAAAAATCATATCTCTCACATGAACTGCGGAAGCAAGCAGGGTCTCCAAACTCATATCAAATAAAGTAGACTTCAAGCCAAAGTTAATCAAAAGGGATAAAGATGGACATTACATAATGCTCAAGAGAAACATACACCAACAAGACATAACAATCATAAATTACATATGCCCCAAACCATGGTGCAGCTATGTTCATCAAACAAACTCTTCTCAAGTTCAAGAGTCAAATTGACCACAACACAAATATCTTAGTTGACTTTAACACACCTCTCTTACCACTGATAAATCTTCAAAACAAAAGTTGAATAAATAAACTATAGAGCTCAATAACACAATTAATAACTTAGACTTAACTGACATATATAGAATATATCAACCAGCATCAAGAAGATACATTTTCTTCTCAGCATAACATGGATCTTTCTCAAAAATAGATCATATACTATGCCACAGGGCAATTCTTAGTAAATACCAAGGACTAGAAATACTACCATGCATTTTATCAGATCATAATGGAATGAAATTGGAAATCAATGACAAAATAAAGAATAAAAAATACTGCATCACATGGAAACTGAACAATATGCTACTGAATGAACAATGGGTTTCAGAAGACATCAAGGAGGAGATTAAAAATTCTTAGAGGTAAGTGAGAACACAGACACAACATATCGAAATCTCTGGGACACTATGAAAGCAGTACTAAGAGAAAAATTTATTGCATGGAGTTCATTCCTTAAAGAAAGAAAAAGTCAACAAATAAATGACCTCACACTATATCGCAAGCCCTAGAAAAAGAACAAATCAGCAGTAAA